CACAAGAGAAGGCTGAGGGGGCACCTGGTGACTGTCTATAAACTCACTAGGGGGGACCAGAAGGGTTTGGGGGAGACACTGTTTCCCCTAGCACCCCCTGGCATGACAAAGAACAATGGACACAAATTATTGGAGAGTAGGTTTAAATTAGACATCCGCAAGAACTACTTCACAGTTAGGGCGGCTAGGATCTGGAACCAACTTCCAAGAGAAGTGGTGCTGGCTCCTACCCTGGGGGTCTTTAAGAAGAGGCTTAATGCCTACCTGGCTGGATTCATTTGAGTCCAGTTTTTTTCTCCCGCCCAGGCAGGGGGTCGGACTTGAATATCTACAAGGTCCCTTCTGACCCTACTTCTATGATTCTATGATTCATCAGATTAGTTTTCCTTATTTTTCCCCTTATTTTTTTCCTAAAAGCATAGCAAGACTTTGCCATGGTTCTTAAACTACATACATATTCTAAAATGTGACAACACTGAAGTACAACAATTTAGAAAGAAACTTATTAGAGCCTGTACAGGATTACATTTGGATACTTGCCAAAATTAATTTAGGGAAAATGTGCATCTAGGCAACATGGCCTAATATTTACCCAAAAATACTTAATAATTCCTGTTATATTTCAGTCCTGACTTGTTTAGAAATGATCTGAGGAAACTGTAGTGATCAAATAAACGTGCTGGTATTATTAACACTTGGGTCAGATGCAGACATTATACTTTTACTGCTCTAAGTAGTTGGAAACTGGTCAAAGCTCATAACAGAACATAAGTTTGGTGCACATAGACTGAGCTAAAATGGCAGAACACTGCCTAAGATAGACCTGGATTTATGCGTACTCAAACTTAATCAATTTAGGTTAGACTGGGAGTGTCTACATATCACCCTATGGTGACGTAGAGACGCACTATGTCACCATACGGTACACTGCAGCAATGTAGTGATCATGTGCATCTACATGTGATCACCAGCTACGTCACCATAGTGACGCGCTCCCCAGGTATAGTGTTCCACTACAGTGATGTAGCAGCAAAATCTATTCATGTGCACTAACCGCCCATACTGTGTTGTGCTTTAGTACTTCCAAAAGGAAGTATGGCAATGTGTAGATGCACTCACAGGTGTATTGAACTTCAGGACCAGTTCCCCTATCTACTTAAGTTAGGTCACTATCCACTGGCATCCCAAGCTCCTTTGCAGGCCCCACCTACCTCCTCCCCCCTTGCAGGGAGGTGCACTAGCACTCATCCTGCACTTGGCTGCTCCAGCCAAGTGCCCAGTGGGCCCTGCCCCTGAGCTTTCATAGAGCCAAGTCAGCACAGACCCTTTACAGCACAGACCCTTTCCACAGCCCCACCTCCTGCCAGCTGTCAGACACAGGCAGGCAGTGTGGGAGGGAAGGCAAGCATCTGTGTCCCTGCATAAACCCCATCATGAAGCATTTCATGATGTACACAAAGACCTGACACTGAGCCCAGAACTCCCGCGAGGAGGTGCAGCATCATGAAGCCGAAGCGGGCTGCCAGGTACAGGCAAGCATTCCCTCCTCCCCCTGCCATGTTGCCTGTCAGCCACCAGCATCTGTCAGCTGCAGGACGGCAGTGGGCAGGGAGGAAATGCTCACCCATGCCCAATAACCAATCAAGAGTGGCCTAGGTGCTTGGTTGCACTTGGCAGTCTCCAGCAACGCAAGGATCCCGCAGAGTATATCAGGTGATGTGCAGGAGCTCCCCCAACCTTCTGGCCTCGGCCAGTGCAGACAACCTGCATTATTCCCCTCCACCACCACCAAAGGGCAAACGTGTGTTCTGTTCACTACCAATCTAATCTATGCCACTTACAGAAACCCATGCAACTTAGATCAATTCTGCCTTGGGATTCCTGCCACAGTGTGAGATACAGTACAATAAGACATTGACCAACTTTCTAGTTAACAATCATTCTCCTCAGATATTCATTCTTGCTCCAACTTTAAGCTTCTTACGAGCTGAAATTGCAAAGAACATAATTTATAATTATGGACAAATGCACTCTGCATCTGTTTTAGTCTGGACTTACCTGTTTCTGTGGATAGTCGAGTTCTTGTACTTCTTTTTTCAAAAATCATGGCTAAAGATTTTCCTTGCATCAAAGGTAAATCCTGAAGAAACAGGAATTGCGGGTTTGAGAAGTCTTTCAATCATACGTGATTAGGTATGAAACATTCACTTCTTTGCTTACTGGCTACAGTGAGTTAAAAACAGCAATCAGTGTCCTAGTTTTAGTCCATTTCCCTACAAATCAGTTATTACCACAGGGAAGAGTTTGAGAGAAAGATATAGTTTTAAGGACAAAAATCACCTGCATTGTTTGGTTTGGTTTGGACTAGCTTTAAAGATATTGCTGATTTTATCTTGATCCCAAAATACTTTCAGAATTGCATTGCAAATCATACAGATATTTTGTGTGACATAACCAAACTAAAAACAATAGAAACAGTCAGTAACAGAGTTATACATGTTGTGCAAAAATGTATGCTCTTGTCATTAGCAAGCTACCTTCTTACATCCAAAGGACTCTGCATTTCTAACTGAAAGGTATAATTATTTGCAGATAAGAGGGTAAATGAGATTTTAGGACAAGCCAGTATAGTTATTAATTCACATTTTATTTCATGGCAATAGCAGTTTTGCTAGTATGAATAATCTAACTGACAGTAAATGGATATTAGCTGAAGACACTGAATACCTCTCCCTTGTGCTTTATTCTTTGTTTCAAATCTGATGCGACCCATAGCAAATACTTTATTTCTTCTGCTGTGTAATTTTGCAGAGTTAGAAGGTCACGACCTTTCAGATGGACATTAGTTTGAGTTGGTTCTCCAGGCCTGTGTCAAAATAAAGACAAAAATATGCTCTTCATCATTTGGCACTAATTTGTACTTTTGATTAAACTAATGAACAAGCAACTAAATCTTTTTCACTAGCGTCATTTGACCCAGATGGATAATCTTGATGGTCTGTGATAATTAGTTTAAATGACTTCCACTGTCACACAGACACAACATATTACAATTTACTATATTAATCACCATGGTAACACTCTCCTAAATATGATTAGAATCTCTGAATCTGATTTTATTTCCAATGCTCTCCAATATGAGTATAACTTGACTGCACACTACATAATCAAATAAGCCCAAAAGTATAGACCTATTCAGGGCATGGTAACACTTAGGTCTGGATTGTATCTTGCTCTACAGGGGTGCAAATAAGAGATTCAAACTGATGTATTTGACTGAGGAACAATTAAAATAATCCTAAATGCCCTGTGAAAAGGCCCTGTGTACAGGCAAAAGAGGCCACAAGTAGCCACAAACTCCTCTCTTTTACTGGCCAGCCTCATGCTCAACCCCAACATACTATGCAAGCCTGAAGCGGGGTTGGCTTCTTATGCAGTAGAGCCCAAATGGTCTTGGCTGCCCCAAAAATGAAAGCCGAAAATAAAAGGATTTTGACCAGGCTGAGACACCCCTCCTCAGAAACATTGCCAGAGCTCTGACTGACACGTGGGCCCAGACTCTGGGGGTTTTGGCATACCACACCAAGCCCTGCATCTTTGCATCCTGGAGCTGTGGAACTGGACAGGTGGGCTTTGGATCCCACCGGACCTCGGCATGTGTCACTGGGAAAACAAAAATTTTATGTGGCTGCCACTCTGGCTAGCTGAGAGCCCGGGACCGACAACTAGCCTTGAGCTCACAGCGTAATGCTTCCTAGTTTATCATAGTTTCATAGTTTGTAGGGTCGGAAGAGACCTGAGAAGAACATCGAGTCCGACTCCCAGCCATGGCAGGAAAGAGTACTGGGGTCAAATGACCCCAGCAAGGTGACTGTCTAACCTTGTCTTAAAGACCCCTAAGGTAGGAGCCAGCACCATTTCGCCTGGAAGTTGGTTCCAGATCCTAGCCACCCTGACAGTAAAGTAGGACCTCCTGATGTCTGGTTTGAATCTACCTTCTGCCAGCTTGTGACCTTTATTTCTAGTCATTCATGGTAGTGCTCGGGGAAACAGGGACTCCCCTAGTGCCTGCTGGTCCCCTCT